AGATCCAAGGTCTTTTCCCCTCTGGTGTTACAGGTGACATACTGGGTAAAGTTTGTCAGGGTCTTTGAGATTTTGGCATGGTTAAAATCTCCGTTTATGATGATGATTATCCTCCAATTAATAATTAGGCTAGATGCCTTTTGTTGTCACATTTCTATGTTTCTTGTTGTGTTATTTTCACCAGCTGTTGATCGGTAGTGCAAAAATGTCTACAGGAATGTGTGGATCATGGATATGAAAATGTTGATGTGCTGTTGATTACATTGGAAAACAAATGTGTTTATAGTTGTTAAACAAGTGAAGAGCCGCTGACAGTTTCTCTTGGAAGACATTCATGGTGTTGCACTTGGCTGTTCACATACCCTGGCGCTCTTCTCACCTCCTCACACCTGTCCAATCCCAGCATGGAGTGGGTGTGGATGTCAGATTGTCTGACGTAGGACAGGTGTGTGTGTGTGTTGTGTGTGTGTGTAGTTATTCCCAGCACTTAACACAATCTATCATGGTCTCTTTCTGTTGCAGGTTGCCATGGTGACAGGATTCTCTGAACACAGAACTTCCTATGTCAGATCCATTCCTCCCTTAAAGCCTTGCACAGGGGTTGGCAGCAGACAATCCCCCAGGCCTAGCAGTACCTGTAAAGTAAGAGGCCATCCCCAAAGCAGACCCCGGAAAATTAACAACAAACACCTCTCCCGGCATAGCAACCAAGAGCTGCCTCGCAATCAGCACCTTTCTCCCCACCACTGGCCAGTCTCTAACTATTGTAGCAACCCCAAGACCTTCAGTAGTCTCCCGAACTCAGGAATAAATTTAAGCAGGAGTCCAGCTCAAATACCATTGACTAATGGTTCAGTCATCAGACAGCTAAGTGAAAACCCTGGAATCCTAAGGTTGTCCAGAAGGAGGAGAGGCCTCCCACCAGACACCAGCCATACCCATCTGAATCAGGTTCCTTTGGACAACAACTCTTTAATCAAGTGCAGGACATTGCAATACAATGATGGTGATGTCCTTTTGGAGAGTGACTGTCATATTAGTGAGATCCCACATACGGAAGCCGATAGTGATAAAGATGTGAGAGCGGCATATGTTAACCATATGGATAAAATCACTGGTAGTAATGATGAAGAATTTAAACAAGAAAAATGTGGCCACATTGGAGAGATGACACTAGAGAGGGGCAGTTGTATCAGCGAAGACTTACAGGACAAGGTAAATGTCGGAAAGTTAAGTTTGGAGAGCAATACCAACGTCATCACAAACTATGACCTCAGCCCTGTCAGTAAGGTCATATGCAGACATGTGAGAGAAAAAAGACTTCAGAGAAAGCAGTCTGCGTCATCCACAATCCCTAAGCCAAATATCAGGACTAATGTTTCCAGGACTTTTGCAAGAGCTGCTACTGCTAGGACTACTATAACTAAAGCTGATATCAGCTCAGTGACATCTGTGCATGTACACACTGACCAACCAGCGAATTATTCTGCCAAGCACACTGCTAAGGGTACTTACAAAGGTAATAGTAAGAACATTACCAAGTGTACTTCACCAGCCTGCAGTTACTCTATCCACAATTCCAAAGGTGCTGCAAAGGACTCTTCCAAGGGCACCACAGAGGACTTGAGTGCAACTGTCAGTGACTATTGTAGCACTTCCAAGGGCTCTACAAAGGGCCTTACCCAAACCAAGTCTCCTACCTCAGCCATTAAGACCAGGACCAGCCCTAGAATCCTTCAGAAGCGCTAACATTTACCTTCACCTACAGATTTACTATTTGCTATATTGAGAATTAATGTTGACGTCAAGGCATGATGATGGTTGCTGGCTGGTTGGATAGTGATGCAGTGACTATGTACTGTATGCTAAATTTTTCCATAATTTGGGGATTTTGTATAGAATTTGAATTCTATATGTCAAATAGATAATGGACAGTATATTGATTTCAGATGCTTCTCTTCTGAATCTGAAATTACAGCTTGATATTTTTGTATTATTATATCACATTGAAGAGGTTTTATCAAAGCACATAGTTTAACTTCAGTCAGTATGCTGAACAGTTTTCAGTAGCTTACCTAGAGAAAGATGCCATGGCCAAAGCTAGATGCCATTGCTCTGGAGTTTTTTAACAGCCATGTTAGTATACCTATTTACTGTCATTTCATTTTAACAGGAATACTCTGTTCAACAATCGATAACATAAAAGTCCTAGGGATTTTTCACTTAAAAGCCTCACCAGAATTAAAGTTTCACATTTTCTGTCTTAAAACAATAGTCAAGTGCTCATATAAACAACGACACAGGTTTTACTTGCTATAATTGTTCCTCCTGTTCATACTGAGTCTCCTGCTGGGACCCCTGTCTGCTTCTCCAAACTCACACTAACGTCTGTCTACTGCAGGTTACACGCTATGTACACTAAGTACCTCATACACCTGACTTAAAAAAACAAGTCTAAGTAAGACAAATGAAGTGGATATTTTCCAAACTTGCAGCCATTTTTATTCAAGATTCCTTTTTTCTGGTTACCTGGACAGTCCCCCCCCCCCC